AACTGCAAAACCCCATCAAAAATATGCTTTTATTAATTACCAATATTATTCTCAATGTTGATGGCATTTGGCCCACTATCACCATGTTTAAAGTAAGACAAGAAGCTGAGCAGGCATTTTGCCCCTCTAGTCTTCCTGCCTCCTCTGTTTATTCAGAAATACACATGCTCCTTTTTAGTACAAAACAGCATGGAAGCAGTAGGAGTTGTGAAGTCACTCTTTACCACTCTTCTCCTCAGAGCTTACGTGACACATTGCAGGGCACTTTGTACTGTGCTGAAAAGCCATAAAAACAATTATCATGTTGGAGAAAGGGACACTGGCCACTATATTGTGCAATTCTGTGGACAGGCTATTTTTCTCAATCAGTACAGAAGGAGGGAGGAGAAATGCACCTGAGCCTTTTTGCTTCCAAAGACATAAGATTTCATAAAGACTGTTCTTCAAGTGAGGAAAGGCAAGGAACAAAGAGGGAAAGAAGTCCAGAGTGGTGTTAGTGAAGACTGAGTATCACCGTCTTGGAAAGCCGGAGTTGTGTTTTTGGTATATCTGAAACAATGAGAGAGTTCTACCCACCTAAACTACTCAGCCCCACTGAGAGTAAGAAGGGATCTGAACTGAAGGGGAGAATCTCAGGGGGTGCGGGGGCACTTTCTTTTTCCCAGATCACAATTTTTTTAAAGAACCAGACTGTTCCAGGAGGGGAAAAGAATTTTGGAGACTAAGAGAGTATAGAGGTGGAAGTCTAGTGCTGGGACAGCCTCCCCTAAATTTGGGAAGGGAGAATGCTAATCCCAGGAAGGAGACAACCCAAGTCCACTGTCCTTTCAGCTCCCTAGGAAAATGCACACCTGAGGAGCAGGCTGGACCTGGTACCCAGATGCTGCCAGTCTTAGCTAAGTTCCCAGATGAGCTATACCTTTCAGGAAATTATGTGGACTACATCATACATGTTTTGGGTGGAAGAGTGGCTAGCAAGCATTATGGCCACTCCATCAGTGTCATCACTGCCATCCTCAACCCCGCCACCAATAAATACACAATCTAAGCAAAACCAGTATACTGCTCTGTAAGTCCAGTTTCAATTGCAGTCTCACGGTTCCTTCCATCTAGATTGCATCCAATCCCAAACTCTTCCTAGTGGGAAATTCTTGAGCTTTAAATGAATTATACCAACAGTGATAGACAAAAACCAGACAGCCCATATATTCTGGGACTTCTGTTAGGCCTGTGGATTTATTGTTCCATCACACAGTGAGATGGGGGAGCTCAGAGCCAGACTTAGTAATGATAACGAAGGAGGAGAAGAAGAATGCAATGTGACATTTCTTACACTTACATAGAATGGAGTAAAAAGTAATAACATGATACAATAATTATTCAGCTTAAAATTTGTGTTTAGGCAACAGATATTTATGTCTGTCCCATAGGTATTTCACTTTTACATTCTATAAACATGTTCTACAAACATTTAGTGAAGTTCTTTTGAAACCATCAAGCCCCTACTTCAATTGTGCCCAAGGAAAGGAGGACATTCTTGCACAGAACTGGTCAAAGTCTTGAAAGGAGAGCTGTGAAATGCTTCAGGGTCAAACACAGTGGAGGCAGGAGGCATCAGTGAGAGAGAATTCCCAGGGGGAAAGATTTTCTTCTTCCAGAGAGCCCCTTTGCTGTAACTCTAGAAGGTTCTGTGGTATTTTTTCATAACAGAAGCTATTAGCTTGTATTAAGACATTAGTAGGAACTAAAAGGTGACTTCTATAGGTGGCTTTAGGAAATAACTCACAAAACTAAGTCAGGTATAGGACAGAATGGCCTTCTGCACTGGAAATCACTAAAACAGAGGTTGAAAACTAGAAAGCTGGTGGCTAACTTGGGCATAAAGACTTTAATGGCCACAAAGTGTTTATTGAAAATATTAGTTAAATATTATAAGGCAGTTTGTTTTTATATTAATGATGTCTCAAGTTTCCTCACTCACAAAATGAATGGGTTCAGCTAAAATGATCAACAAACAAATGTCAGAAAGTTCATTTAAAAATCTGCAATTCCCAGACTTCCTTGAGAAATTAGAAGACTGGACAAGATGGGCCCCTGCATGTTCACCTGGCAACAACCAGCTAGACCAGAAAACCACTGAGCACTTTAAACACCCCACCCCACCCCGCAGCTCAGCACAGGCCAGCATCTTCAGTCCCTGTGGCACTGTGCCTGACCCGCTTCACTCATTTTAGGTAATTAATGGTCCCTGAAGTCAACTGGATTGGTCACCTCAGCTCCAAAGGAGAAATGAGAAATGGCCCTTAAATATGTAGCAACCAGGAACGAGGGGTGGCCCAGCATTTGAAGGCCAGGGAAGGCCTTGATGTTCACACATGCTCTGCCTTCATTGTGCACTAAACAACAGAGATGGAGCAGGCCCTGCATCAGGTTGCTTCCCTTTTGCCTTTTCCTTGAGCTGAATTATTATATAAGACAGACTCTTCTCCATTATTAAATTCAAACAATAGCTACTCGGCATATATAATGACTAAAAGGACATTTAGCTGATTCAAACCCTGCCTTCTCTGGTTGTAATAGGTTAGGCAGCTTGCTTTTATATTAATGGTGTCTCAGTTTCCTCATTCACAAAATGAATGGGTTCAGCTAAAATGATCATTAAGATCTATACCACTTCCACTTATCTAGAATCTACTCAACCCTTGAGAGATGTTCAAGTTCCACACTTCCACAGAACCTCTCCAGACTTCTTCCTTTGAATTTTTCAGCTTATCGCCACCAGCTCCCAAATTAGCACTAATTTTCTAATTGCTTTGAGTATCTTGGTTCATTTGCCATAAACAGAAAATTCCCTTAAGTAATAGACTATACAGTTGAATTTTTAAATCATCCACAGCATTTTACATTTCACTGGCACTCAATAATTGTTACTTAAACTGAACAACACAGAAAATATCTATAAAATGGCAAGGTTCCAAAAGAGCAACTTTCATCAGCCCCCTCAAAAAAACTTATCCTTACCAGTATCACAGTTTGCGCATCTGATTTAGGCAGGCACAATGTGTACTATGCAAAGAAGAGATACACTTCTAGATCGCTATATACTTTGTATATGATCATTGCTTCCTTCCATAGTAGAAAAGCTCAAAAGGGGAAAAACACAAACAATAGCTCACTATAATGATATATTAAAGATTGTTACCCACTTAAATAGGGCAGGGGAAAAATTTTCCTACAGCAATTAAGAAAATCAATTACTTGCAGGGGATTGCAGATCAGACATTTGAAAACTACAGTGAAAACCACCCTTGATCCTCCCCCTCCCCTTGGATGTCATCAGTTCTGAGTAAGAGTCCAAGTTAAGATGCCATGTGGGTGGGGATTTACCCAACTTCAACTGGAAATGCAGTGGAATACAGGTTTTACTTGTTCTGGTTAAATTCTCCCCCTTCCCCCTTTCAAATAATTAAGGTTTTAGATATGTGATCAGTCCTTCCCTATCAAAGTAAAGCAAACATGAGAAAAGACTAGTTCAAGCACAAAATTATTTTTGAAAATTTTTTGATTGCTTTAATTTCTCTATTCAATGAATTTAAGATAACACTCTAGTAAACTTAATTAACAAATGTTCATGTCTTAACAGCTAGCCAATTCTAGTGAATTGAAATTAAGTCAACTTTTAAAATGCTCTACTGTGATGTAACAACACTCAGTACGGGTGTTTCCACTTAACCCATATGCTGGGGAAGGAGAATTAGTTCTGTAATTCATATTTCTATGTACATACACAATGCTTGAGGGTCTGAGTCAAGAGGTTGTGTACCTGTAGGTTGGGGAAGGGATTAGTCAGCTGGGGGAAGGGAAATCATAAACTCCCACTTGGACCTTTCTGGAAAATCAAAACCATACCCAATTTTAAAAGATGGTAAATACTGATTACATGTCTATTAATTTTTCTAGGGAATCCCTGTAAAATGCAATGAAGCTTTACAATCTGAGGGATACAAGCATCTCACTTTTTTTTTAAGTAATTTTTTTACACCGTCTTTCAGCTGTTTCAAGCCTTTCAATTGTTTGTTTCTACCCGGTGTTTCGAATAACCCAGTTAATTCATCTCTGACGGCTGACAGAAAGCCTATCTGTCAGTCTATCCACACGCAGCCTGAAGAGGGCTCTTGATTAGGTTCCCTCCTTCAGCCACGCCTACACACCAAGCATCGCCAGGAATGGAAAGTATGCCCAGCCTCCACACACCCTCACATCCCCATCTCCTCCACTTAACCTCAAAAGCTTAAACCCTAGCGAGGTTTTCCCACATCCCTGTCAAATAAAATGGACAGAACTCAAACAGAACCGGGGAAGGAGGAGTGTCTAAATTGTTCTTTTAATTTAGGTCAAGGCCAGTTCTTTTCCATGGACCTCTGAAAGCAGAAACCACCCTAACTAAGAGTGCCTCCCCGAATCCCATAAAAAGGCACTACCGTGCCCCTGCGGCAAGCTCCAAAGGAATGGAATATGTTCCTCTGGGATCACAACCAGGCATAGAGTGGGGAAGACCTTTAAGTTTAATTATCTGGAGTACTATGCCTACCACAATGAGGGCATTTAAGCCTTAGGCATGCCGTTGTACTCCACACAATCTAGTACAACTCCTAAAACTAGGGTAAACTCATTAATTTCAAATGTAGGATGAAATGAGGAAGAAAGGCTTTCTCCCCAAATCCGTCATCTCAAAAACAGTATTAAACTAAGTTCTGAGGAAAAGCTCTCCAGTGACTCCGCCTACTGCATCCTCCCTCTCAAGCTTCCGAAGCCGTCGGGGCACGAAATTCTTTCTTGGCCACACATTTGGGGTGACGGTCCTCCTCTCTGAAGATCACCAGCAAATTAAGAGACTCTCCAGACTCTTTATTACCCCCCAAGAGGTGGGGCTCCGACTCCAGGTAACCGATCTAGCAACTTGGACACCCAATTAGCAGGGAATCCCCCCCAAAGCCAACCTGGCCAATCGCAGCGGGCGAGCCAAAAGAACCACGAGTGACGTAAGATGTGATTAAGTTGGCGCGTCACCTCGACGTCAGCTTCTCACCTCTCGGACGTCCCGTCCCGGGAGCAAAACTCTAGCGACTTTGGGTCCCGCCCCCGGGAGAGTGGAGGGCTGCCAATGAGGGCGATTCTGAGGGTGAACGAAGCCAATGAGACAAGCCAGGGGCGGGGCGCGGGGTCCGAGGGTGGGGCGGATGGCGGCGGTGGCAGCCCGAGGTCTGGCTGCGCGCAGTATATGACAGTACGTCAGCAGCGGGATGGCCGTAGCTGTGGCGGCGGCTGCAGAAGCCCGAGCAGCCGCGGCCGCAGTGGAGCCTAGAGCCCGAGCGGCGACGGCGGCGGCACCCCGGGGAGTTTAAGATGGCGGCAGGGGGGGCGGCGGGCCTGCGGGAGGAGCAGCGCTACGGTCTGTCCTGCGGGCGGCTGGGGCAGGACCACATCACTGTACTGCATGTGAAGCTCACCGAGACGGCGATCCGGGCGCTCGAGACCTACCAGAGCCACAAGGTGAGCCGACCGGCCGGGCTCGGGGAGGGAGAGGGCGCCCTTCGTCGCCCGGCCGCGCCTGCTCCGGCCCCGGGCACCCGGCGCGGGGGCGGCGGAGCAGGGACTCGCCGCCGCAGCCGTCAGAGCCCGCCGCGGCAGGGCTGGGCAGGGCCGGGCTGGGCCGGGCTGGGTCTCTGACGCCGCCGTCCCGGGCTGACCGGGCTCCCGGGCGCTGGGAGGCGGGCGGGCGGGCGGCCCCTGGCGGCAGGGCCGAGGCAACCGCAGCCCGGGCTCGGCTGCGCCTCCGCTGCGGGACTTTCCGACGGCGCTCGCGGGTTTCCTGGCTTTTTCTGTCAGAGTAAGGGAGAGAGGCACCAGGGAGGTGGGAGGGATGACCCGGCTGCCCACGGTAGGGGAAGAGGCGCGCAGCGTACGGGTACCTATCGCGGGAGGACCCGCCAGCACAGCCATCCGCGTTTGGGGCTAACACGTAAGGCACCGTGGACGCGCAGATTCGGGGACACAGGCGCTCCACATATGGAGGTGAGACACACCTCGTACTCGCAGGGATGTGAGGACATAGGCTCTCCGCATTTGGCGGAGGGCACAGTGTGTGTTCGCTAAGGCTGGAACACAGCACTCCTCGTCTGAGAGGGAGGGGGACACACCTACACTCCCAGGAACTCGGGGACACTGGAGCCTCGAGTTCTCAGAGACGCACCCACACCGCGTACCCAGAAGCTACACACATCCGCCGCCCAACCGGGAGCAATACCTCGGTTACGGAGCTCACACTGCCTTCTGGAGAGACACCATGACCATACACTCACAACTCGAGTACAGCGAAGGCTCTTACTTAATTAACCCATAAGCCGCAATTGGAATACAAATGCAAGCACGCGTTTTCACAATGAAAAAAAAAAAAAAGAAGGGGAAAGAGAAGCTCGGAGGAGACGTTGCAACCAGGGTGCCTAGGAAAGCCGTTTATGGACATGCAGTAGTACTGTGTGTGGATGAGGGAGACAGCAGTGGACACATTGCATACAGGGATATACCATATGAAGGAGGGGTAACATTCACTCTGACAGGAGAGGCAGTCGGAGGGAGATAAAGTCCATAGAGCATCCTAACAATAGCCCTGTCCATACCAAGGAAAAACGCTCCAGTTAACTAATTTTGTAAAATGTCACAGAGGACCAGAGGAACACCCAGACACAGACTCACATACTCAGATTAAAGTGAAGAAAAGAATTAACATCTGTTGAGCTCCCACTAGTGCTAAGTACTTTAAATGCATAGGAAGAAGACAGTTGGAAACAGAGCTGCAGGGGAGTTGTGAACCCTGATTCCTTGGGAGTGTGTGAACCTGGGCCAAGGAAGACTCACCTTTAGAGAGGCCCCCAACATAAGCATACACTCGGGGGGTGGGGGGGAGGGGAGACACAGTTGTGCACTGTTTAGGAGGTACATGAACGCATATGACAGTGTACATGTAAACAGCAAGAGAGACTCCTAGAGGTGAGTATGCTCTCAGGAGGGCCCTCAGAGAACTGAGTTACCTGCCAGAGAAACATATGGTGAGAAACACTCAGACTTGGGAGGGGAGGAAGGAGGTGCACACACAGGAAGAAAGATACCTTCGTACACACCATGAAATCCCAAGGAAAAGGAATCTCGTATGGTTGAGACGTCAGTGTACACCCAGTAATAGGAATGCAAGGAGATAATACAAGCCATACAAACTGCATGTTTCAGTAGCTACTCCCAGACAAATGCACCTGCAAGGAAGAGATCAGCACCAGCACGGACTGGGAGGCCCGTAGCAGGGAAGCCAGATAGGCAGGCAGAAGGACAGAGGCAGACACTAGAGAGAAGCTCAGCACTGCAAGATGAAGAGATAAACTTGCCTGTTCCAAGGCCAAGGCGTGGGAAGGAATGACGGTGGGGAGAAGGTAGGTCAGAGGTATAAAGAGAAAAACACACAGGCTGGAGAGGAAGAAGCCAGAAAGAGGAGGACAAACTCCAGTCAGAAACAGACCAGGAAGCAGAGAAAGAGTAGCACACAGAGGGTGGGGAGAGGCATCTCTAGGGACAGTAGGTCAGCCAGCCACCTTCAGAGAACAACAAACTGGATGATTGCACTGAGATTAACAGACACATCCACTTGGCTGGGAAGAAGGGGGAGAGGAGGCCCACGTTGGGAGGGATGGTGCCCAGGGAGAGTGATATGACCGGCCCCCAGTGCTCCCTGATGTGCATGATCACGGGGGCCCAGAAAGGGAAAGCCGTTTGTTTTTCTACCTTTCTGCCTTCTGCACCTTAGTGTTTACATGCCTGGGATTAAGGCTGGAGTGCTTTGGTTCAGAAACCCCCATATATATATTATATATACCAGTGTCTTTCAAGAGTCAGGAGAACAAAAATTCTTTCTCTCCTAACCCACAGCTTAGTTCTTGATTTTTTTTCTTTTACTTGTTTTGTAGTCAAAGGTATCAAAGTCAATTCAATGGCTTTCTTTGCTCCTATTTCTATTGCTTGTTAGTATTATTACTGTCCTTTTCTGCCTCTGTGCATGCAAGTTAATGGGTCTTGTCAGTCTATACAGAAGCAGAGGAGGGAAAGGGAGAAGACTCTTCCAAGTCCCTCCACCAGGTAGACTGATGAGTCCTAGGATTTCTTTTCTCCTGAAAAGCTGTTGGTGGAAGCAGTGGCATGCAGGGAGAGGAGGAAAAAATAAGCTGACTTGGTCTTTGCTATTAGAGGCTCCCTTGTTTATGACTTAACCAACTCCTGTCCAGGCCTCACTGCCACTTCATCCACAGAAACACTTTGTAAGAGGTTTGGAAAGAAATTGGAGTTGAGACTATATTAACTCCAGATGGTTAAAAAGTGGGGACAGACTGAAGAATGAAATGAGGGGCCTTTTGGATGGCAGTATATACTGTTGGTGCTTACTAGAAGGATCCTCTGGCATGTTCAGCTAAGTGTGCTATAAATGTGTCCTCAGTGCCCCTCCTCCTGGCTCAGGCCAGACCAGAATTCCCCCATCTGCAGAGAAACAGTTACTAGCACTTGGCATCCTGCTGGGCTTTTGTCTTACAGTAGAAGGACACTTATTTGGTCTTTTACACCTTCCACCCTTATCAGAAGTAGAACTCATGACTGTAAATTGTAGCTGCTGTTTGGAAATATGTTGGGATGAGTTAGCTAATTTCAAAGAAGTTTCTGGTACTCAAGCCTGTTCTCTCTGTGGAAAAAAAAATGGCTTTAATTTCTCGTGTAAAACTGCCCCCATAATTCCTGTTCAGATAGGAGGGTGCTTGATGCTTGATAAGTGCCCCCAAGTGGCTTTGGCCTGGGCAAGATTATGATTATTACTCCTCCTAATAGCTTTCTAAGAGCCAAAATTTTAACAGGTTCACTTCCTGAATTAAGCATCAGAAAGTTATTAATTCAGATATTTTGTACATTGGATTTACTTTTATGAATTAACCCACTTGACCTAAGGATTCAGGGAGGTAAATTTAGGAATTTTAGGAAACTATGATTTAGGCAGAATATAGACGTTCTTAGATATAATTGAGCATGTATTGAAATTACTAGGGTTCATGAGAAAAGAATCTTTAATTAGAAACAATTTCCTCACTGTTTGAAAAAATTCTCAAACCTAAATGACCCTCATTATTCAAGTCTTACATTTTTAGAGAAGAAATGAAGTAGGCTAATATGAAAAACTTCCTAAACAGAGACTAAAGTAAGGGAGAGAGACATTGTGAGTTCAGGAAAGGGAGTTATAGTTGGAGTAAATACCTCTTGAAAGTTGTTTTCGACTCAGTTTGAATACAGAAACAGTTTTAAATTGATTACACATTAAAAAGTGTTAACTGGAAAATTATTTTCATGGTTTGCAGAACAAATTTAGACATACTAACACATATCTAGGCTATATTGCAGAGGTACTTTTTTAACTAGATTATTTTAGATGAGGGAACAAGTTACTAAATAAATAAAGTCACAAATTACAACTTTATAGTCATGCCAAATTGATGTCTGTGGTTGTGTGGTCTATATAAGCTCTACATATTTTAAATGAGCATATATGACTATAATTATATGTTTTTCCCAAGTATATCCCAAAATTATATTTAAAATTAAAACCCAAAAGTCTAAGGTACACTGTAGCCAATTTCTTCAATAATGTATAGTTGGTTTCATTTTGACATTTATAGTAACAAATCTTATCAAAATATTGTTTGCAGATTCTGTCATTGCTAAGCCTGTCAATTTATTTTTTAAATGTTTAGTCACAGTTTCAAAGGTGATGGCTCAAATAATATTATCATGTTTACTTAACCATTACATAAAAAGTCTTGCATAGATGTGTTTGGAGGCAGGGGCCATTTATTCTCTATGCCTGAAGATCAGAAAGAAGATGCCTTTAAGAAAGATTCTGTTAACACATTTTCTTGTCAACTCTAACTATTGGATTTAAATAAATTCTACTGCTTTGATTAGTGTCTTCTAGCAAAATAATAGTGTTTTGAAAATGTGTACAAATACACTTAAATTTA